TGAACGAAGAGACTCATATGGCTGCATCAACTGGATGCCACTGTTCACAGGGGATGCAGAATCTATGGAAACTCAAAAACAGAGTTTGAAAGCCATGTTTGACGCCTCTGAAACTGATAATGAAAAGGTAATGCATCTAATGAAAGCTAGCTATGCCCTGCAGCGCAAGGAGATTAACAGTGGGACCTCCATGGAGGAACTGAAGAGAGACTGGCCATATCTTTTTGACGTCAAGGGCATTTTAGATCATGCTCAGGAACTTTTGGAAATCGACATAAGGAATGCCTTGGGAACCGCCTACAAGGACAAAGCAGTAAGAATCAATCGATTCTTTAAAAACAAATCAAGTTCCAAGTATCAGATGATCTATGATGAAGCCAGAAGGCAGAGTGAGAAGGATAACATCAAGGCTTGGTTGGCCGCAGTGATTCTCTGTGTTCTGAACCATTTTGGGGAAAATGAGAAAGATGTCTTCTTTGTCGTTGATGTAAGATATATTTTAATAGTAAAATGCAGGTGGTGAATTATTATCATTGCTCTTAAGACCAATTTTAAACTTAGATGGACCTCTATTCAATTCTATTGTTTTTCTACAGTTTTCAGTATCAGTATGAAATCAAAACGTCTCCTCAAGACATTATGCTCATGGAGTGTTTTCCTGTTTATTCATTTTATTTTTACAAACTGTTGGAACAGGAAACAACAAGTGTTGGAGAAGTAGAGGCGACCACAGGAATGGAATCACTACTGCTGCTAGTTTTTGGTAAATATTTTATTCAGTTATTTCAAATGTAATATTGAGCTTTGTTGGTGGCAGTATTTCTAGATGTACCCACAAGGACAGTTTCCTATGCATACTTTCGTAGTCTGTTAAAATACTAACATTAAAAGTTGCACTGTGGATAATTTAAAGGATACTATCCATGCCCCGGATGCATTTAATTTAGATCCACAGAGAAAAATTTCAGAACGATGTCTAAGTAGCCAGTCAGATAATGCTCTTATAAAGTGATCTCTTATACTTTTTGTTCCAGGTGATTCAGTCCTTGCTGGCAAGTCGTACATGTTAATGTGTGACAGAATGGTCATTTCATCCATGGGAAGAATCCCAAGCTTCATGGATGCCTTCTCTGCATTCTTTGCATCATTCTACGTGTTCAATCTGAGTATCCCCGGCGGTTTCAGCAACCATGGAGTTTATTCAGAGGTATTTACATTCAGTAGAATAGTCAGAGGTGGGATGACAAAATACAAGCAGATTGCTTGTTTTGCTTCTTATGACAGAATTGAAAGATACATCTTTTCTTCTTTAAAATCCATGAAATTATATGAATTAGAGCCCAGTAAAGGGAATAATCGTGTGCCATTTTAGTCATATGTGGTACATTTTAAAGCATATAAAGCAGTCCGTGAAGAATGAGTATACAATGCACTCAACACAGGCACGGTGTGTTTAACATAAATAAATACCTTACTTGAATCACATCCTCAAGTGATTGTTTAATTATGTTTTTAATATGATTCAGATGTTTCATTGGCATCAACCCTGATAGAGGATCTAAAGGGAACAAAGGAAAAAAGAAGAAGGTTAAGATTAACCCCAAGGTACTCAGATTAATCAACGCTCTTGCGGATTTTGAGTGGCTGGAATCAGACTCATAGTGTGATAGCATGGTGGACTGGAGTCTATAACAGGACAATGAACACTTCTGTGTCATGTTTGCACTTGGTGCTCTTCCAGTTAGTTTATATGATGATTGTAAGCTGTCCCTGGCATTCGGTTGTCTGTTGACGGTAAGACAGATAATTGATGTATTTACTTTAGAAGTGGTTCATATGATGTCAGTGTACATCAAAGATATGAGCGGTCTTGCAATGTTGGATATGTTTAAACAGAATACTTAGGCTTATTTCATGACATAGCATTTATATAACATATCACCTTGAATAGATTCAGTTTTTCTTGACACTTAGCTGTCCTCTTTGTCGATGTTAAGAAGATGATTGTAAGCTGTCCCTGGCATTCGGTTGTCTGTTGACGGTAAGACAGATAATTGATGTATTTACTTTAGAAGTGGTTCATATGATGTCAGTGTACATCAAAGATATGAGCGGTCTTGCAATGTTGGATATGTTTAAACAGAATACTTAGGCTTATTTCATGACATAGCATTTATATAACATATCACCTTGAATAGATTCAGTTTTTCTTGACACTTAGCTGTCCTCTTTGTCGATGTTAAGAAGATGATTGTAAGCTGTCCCTGGCATTCTGCTGTCTGTTGACGGTAAGACAGATAATTGATATATTTTCTTTAGAAGTGGTTCATATGATGTCAGTGTACATCAAGGATATGAGCGGTCTTGCAATGTTGGATATGTATAAACACAATCCTTATTTCATGACGTAGCATTTATGAAACAGATCAAATTGAATAGATTCAGTTTTAGTTGACATTTAGCTTTTAGAAATGCTTAAATGTTCAAAATTAATTGCATTAAACGGGAGGACTAACAGTGAGTACGGTACGATTATTTATATTTTCACGGAAGAATTTCACTTCTGAATGTTGTGATTTTAATGTTTTAAAGTTCATCTATTCTGTTAAAATTCACTGTGAATTGGTACCTTTTTTGAGATTAGAAATATCTGAGCAGTTTGAAGGATCGTTTAATGAAAGGAACAATTTGAAGAAAGATGGCCGTCTTTTATTACACCATTAAAGTAATGCTAGAGTCTGGGCCGTGTGATTTTGTGTAATTTTGTAAAATGTTTCAGAAGATTAATTGGCATATATATTTCAAGTTTTCTCCTTCACGGAATATGTTCGTGTTATTGAGTTCTTTATGTTGGACATTTTCAAACCTTAAGGTTTTCTAATACTCCTTTGACGAATACCCTCCATTAGAGGGAAATTGTATTACCGTAATTTGAGCACAGGACATTGACCTGTTTCTCATTTTGCTTTGTGTTCAGGGTGAGTCTAGCATATGGAAATGGTAGTCTGTTTGCGTTTAGTGTTTTCTGTTTCATGTAATGTTTTCAGACAGATCACTGTTTATATCAGTCCACGTGGATTAGTTATATTGTTAGAGACCTATATTGTCATCAGGACATAGAGAAATGTTTCTTTTTTTGTTTGCTGTTAATGCACATCATTTTGTCGCCTCTTTCCCCAGCTTAAACAAAGTACGAGGGGTATAGCTGTATACAGCATATACTATGCCAACTTAGGTTAACATCGTTATACTAACTCTGATGATGTAAGAAAAGACCAGCTTCACACTGAAAACAATAAAATCTGAATCATCTGGTTCAAAGATTCATCTAACACAGTTGTATTCTTTTTTATTTGAATAGCATATGTTCGCAGCATTAAAAGCAAGACAATTATAGATATAGTTCCCATGTTGTAGCTAACATTCCAATGCTGTTGCCTTTCAGCTGTTATGTGCAGGTAACCTCAGTAAATGGTTATTACTTTATTTGGCTATACATGCACAGGAATTCTACCGGCTGCCACAATTTCACCGTATATTTTACGGTATGAATACATTCGGTACACCGTAAAGCTACTGGTTTTGTACCGGCAGCACGGCTGCCAAACTATTACCGTATATTTTACGGTATGAATTATTACGGTATCCCGTAAAGCTACTGGTTTTGTACCGGCAGCATGGCTGCCAGAGTTTTACCGTATATTTTACGGTATGAATTTATTACGGTATCCCGTAAAGCTACTGAGTTTTTACCGGCAGCATGGCTGCCAAACTTTTACCGTAAAAATTAACGGTAAAGTTTTACAGTGTATGACACTACAGCTGTTATTTAATAATAGTGATAATGATAATTCATTTATATAGCGCCTAGTATCCATCTGACTAGCTGCTCACTGGACGCTATAAACAGAATCTGATTATTATTACCCCGGATAGCCCATGTTGCCTGTGATGTGATGCAAGGTTATAGTCACATAACTTTACTATATATAAATCATTTATTTAATTGATTCCACAAAATGGTTAAGAAGATGATGCCTCATGTTTAACAATACCACTCTGCAGACAAGTTATGTGTTTTGAAAAAGCTATTGATTCAGGACCTTGGTAATTTCAGTAAACTCGATTTCATTAAATACGTCACCAATACTCATTTAATTCAAAGTATGTTTATCTATACCATCGTTTTGATAGTGTAATATTTGTTTTTTAATGATTGGCTAACTTTCCAAAATATCGCCAACACCTGAGAGGATGGCGTAAATCCAGCTGGGAACCATGCAGGCAGCAAAGGTACTATAAGTCCCCATGGTCCCTGGTGTGGCGATCTACTTTCAGTTGCTGGCGATCGGTAGCCTGTTTTTATATTGTATTGTTTGATGTAGTAATAGATTATATTACAACATAGTCGTCTTGTACCAAATCTGTAATATTCTTGTATTTTTCTGTCCTTCGATGACATGTTTATATGGTTTACATTTATGTTGATTTAATGTATGGATTGTTCTCGTCACGATATGGCTCGTCACGATACTGCCGATGTGACGTTAAATATTAACTCACTCACTCACTTCATCAATAGTGCTTTAATGATGGAAGGGTCGATATCCCTACATTGTATTGTTAATAATGACCTGTGGTATACATGGGATGTCATTCAACGAGAATCTAATCATCCTACACATTTCTTCGAACATGAGTACATGTACCGGATACTAGGCAGGTACAATTGATCATGCTTATTCTGCGAAGATTTCAAATACGTCTTACGGACTTTAGTTCAAACGTTGTTTGATGAAGGTTTCCAACATTCAAGGCCTAAGTAAAGATGTCATGAAGTTTTAAGGCATACATGTGGAGAACATTTCCAAATTTACAGGCATATGTTCACGTGCTCTTACATTAAGCAATTGACTTTCCTTTGCGTGTGTTTTGTGACGGAAGCCGCCATTGGGGCAGGATATATCCAGCTTGCGATCGCCTAGCTATGGATTGAATGTTTACAAGCAGGTAATGGTGTAGGTTGTCCAAGAAGTGTCGTTGACCAGATGCGAATACAAGGCTTTGTAGGTTAGCAGACAGTTCTCATTAGTCGGCGCTGTTGCACTGTAGCTGAAGTCGATGCATGAATGATGCTGGTGACAAACGATGCCGCAGTCGCCGGCTGTCATGGCCGACGTGGTCAGGAACGGCTCCGACACCTTCACGTTCTTCGACGGTTTGTAGTATGAGCCTAGAGAAAAGTAATTCTAGTTAATGTGTGAACGGGATATCATCAACGCTATCTTGACGTTATACCAGTCATCATCATCGAGTCACGTGACACACCATCTGCAACGTCACAGAGCCTGACCAATCACTTTATATTGTTTGTTATTTAACGCTTCACTCAGCAATATTCTAGCTATATGGCGTCGGTCTGTAAATAATCGAGTCTGGACCAGACAATCCAGTGATCAGCATCATGAGCATCGACCTTCGCAATTGGGATACGATGAAATGTGTCAACCAAGTCAGTGAGCCTGACCCCCGATCCCGTTAGTAGCTTCTTACGACAAGCATGGATTGCTGAAGATCAATTAGATGTAGAGAGGTGGGCGGTGCCTGGTATGTACTCATGTGTATATATGTAAGAGGTTATGTTATAAATCTTGGACTCAATGGTTTACTCACGATATGGCTTCGTAGTCCCTTCCCCTTGCACGTCAACATGTCCGATCCAGAGGTGTGTGCGACTTCTGGATCGCCTTGTGACACGGACAAAGCGGACAGGGAAGGTGGCATTGCAGGTGAAGGTGAAGTCTTCCCCAGCGGCAACAGTGCTGGACACTGCTCCACACCACACCACCTGGACGTCAGAGCAGAGGCTGACATCCTTGTCCATCACCTCCACGTAGGCATTTTTCATGTGGTTATCTGCAAACATATACTCAGAGTACGTATCATATATAAAATGTACGTTTCTTATAAGTAGCCAGGAAAAATATGATTTCTTAAAATAATGTAATTCAAGCATTGTGTTGAATAAGTTTTAAATGCATATTTATATCAGTCACGGTACACAATACAGTTGCTGAACTGTGTTGAATTGCAAGGACATCTACATAGAGTTGGTGCGGTGTTTGGTGTGCCACCAACCCTGATGAAACAAAACAAAGGAAACTTTACACGAATCCCCTGTAGGAGGTTGCAGTGACGGTGATGTTGCTGATGTTGAAGTAGCCTCTGAGGTCCACCTCCCACCAGGACGGGTTGTCTCGATTTGTTAATGATCCATAGTATGCATGTGCTTTATCTAGAGCCTTGCTGGCGAAATAGGTGGAATGGGTACTGCTCTGTTTTGCATCTTTCCCTCTTGAAATACTTTCACCTGCAAGGGAAGTATGAAGAGAGACATGAGAGACAGACGCACAGACACAGACACACAGAGGCACCCACAGGCACAGGCAAGATGCAGACGCCCACAGACACAGGCAGCACACACCCACAGGCACAGGCAAAGAGGCAGACGCCCACAGACACAGGCACACTCAGACACAGGCACACAGGCAGACACAGAGGCAGACACCCACAAACACAGGCACAGAGGCAGACACCACAGACACAGGCACACTCAGACACAGGCACACAGGCAGACACCCACAGACACAGGCACACAGGCAGACACCCACAGACACAGGCACACAGGCAGACACCCACAGACACAGGCACACAGGCAGACACCCAGACACAGGCACACACACAGGCAGACACTCAGACACAGGCTCAGAGGCTGGCACCCACAGACACAGGCAAAAGCAGAGGAGACACACACCGACAGACGCAGAGAGGCAGACACCCACAGACACAGGCACAGACGCAGACACGCACAGACACAGGCACAGAGGCAGACACATACACAGGCACAGAGGCAGACACTCAGACACAGGCAAAATCAGAGGCAGACACTTACAGACACAGGCACAGACAGGGGTAGACACCTGCAGACACAGTCAGAGGTAGACACGCACAGACACGGGCACAGAGGCAGACACAGACAACCACAGACACAGGCAAAAACAGAGGCAGACACTTACACACAGGACAGACACACCTGCAGCACAGAGACAGACATCCACAGACACAGGGCACAACACAGGCAAAACAGGGCAGACACCCACAGACACAGGCACAGAGGTAGACATCCACAGACACAGGCACAGACAGAGGCAGACACCCACAGACACAGGCACAGAGGCAGAGGCAGACACACACAGACACAGGCAGAGAGGCAGACACACACAGACACAGGCACAGGCAGGCAGACAGACACAGGCACAGAGAGACAGCACAGAAGCAGACACACAGAGACACAGGCACAGAGGCATACACGCACAGACACAGGCACAGAGGCAGACACCAACAGACACAGGCACAGAAGCAGACACACAGAGACACAGGGACAGAGGCAGACACCCACAGACAGAGGCAAAACCAGAATCAGACACCCACAGACACAGGCAAAAACAGAGACAGATATTCACAGACACAGGCACAGACACAGGCTCACTCACACACAGAGACACAGACAAAGAAAAACACAGACACCCACAGACTGACACACATACACACACGGACACACACACACACACACACACACACACACACACTCGACAACATACATACATATTTTACTTGTCAAAATATTGTCAGGTCAGAAATGGGAGAATAAAGCTAGCTACTTTAAAACAGACAGTTTTATTCAATATAAAAGGTCACTGGCCCATAGTATATACAATCATTTGTCATTGAATAAGTAAAGCGCACATAAAATATGTAATCAAAGACTATAGGACTTCCTGATTTTGCTCGCACATTTCAAGACGTTACAGAATGATACCTTCATATTTATGTTTCTGTTGTTAACATTATTAACAAAATTTTGTTGGTTATCAAAACATTTGACAACAGGGGAAGTAGTATAGGTAAGGGGTGTTCTGCATCAGGTCCGCTTATGGTGTTATTTATGGCTTATTAAGCTTCCAGCGGCCGCTTATAAATGGCAGTTTATAAGACTCTCATTTTCGCTTGGGCAACACTTTTTTCAGCAACCACAAACCCCATTTTCGACCCGACACCAAGACATGTATACGGAAAAAAAGCAACCAAGGTTGCTCGAACTTCCAATTAGACATATGGAGTTGCTACAGTACACTCTGACAACAACTTTGGCAAAGCAAATCACAGCAACCTTCCAAGAAATGGGTATTCGCTGCAGCAAATTGATCGCACACCACCTACTACTGGAAAACATGCACGACAACAACCTGGTGTCCGACATCCCGACGGTAGACTATCGCTGGAAATCTCGGTGAAACCAACCTGCAACCTCTCTCCGGTCTTCCAGCCTTTGTCGACGGCCTCTATGTGTTTGGCTATCTATCTCATAAAGACATCGTGCAGCACAAGGGAAGAGTCCATTGTTCTATGGGAGAGCACAGCCACGTAAAAACAATTGTAGGACTACTCCACTGGATACTATGCACCACCTACAAAGAGTATACCGAAGCAACCAACCTGTATACGACCCTTTTCCACACGGTGCAAAAGACGAGTGCAGGAGCTATTGCCAGCACGATCCAAAAGATCGAAAGCAAAACCCAGCAGAAATCACTACAAGCATGGTAAGCCCAAAAGATGATGAAAGCCCTTTTGCAGTCTTTGTGGCCAAAGTGGACGTCTCCGAAATCACGATCAACCGACTCCATGAGAAATTGTCCAATCTAGAAACAAAATGACAAGGCAACGGACTAGGGATTGACTACAGCATCGACTACACCCGAGACTATTCCGACATCCTAGACCGCAAACAGCTCATGCAATTCCTCTGTAGCCAACATGGATTTGTCGAACCAGGTGATCTCATGGAAGCTATCGAAAGTGGAAAACCCACCATCCTGGACAACACCCACTCTGTTGGCAACCATGTTTGCACGTGGGTAGAGACAACAAAGTCCGGCAAAAAGATGCACACCAAGCTGTACAACAAAGTCATTTGCAACTTCAAAGCTGTAGAAGTCCGAGAACCGATTGGCGGCCATTTTGCTGACTACGTAGATTGTCCAAACGAGCATCTCCGCAAAACCTTTCTCAACCCAGACGTACAACCACGAGGTTGTACTCGCATAGAAGCTTCCCTATATGCCTGCCAAGACACAGACACGTCCACCAACAGAGCAAATAACGTTTTGCAAGATGTATTGGAGCAGGTTTTGCCGGCAGGCGACGGTCTATTCTTCGTACAACCACCAGCAATGTAGTGGCTTCGTCTAGCAGACCACTGTTTTGTCCTAGCTGAAAATGGGTCGTGTGTCTGGAGTACACATTCGTCCAACTGACACAGAATACTGGGAAAAAAACATTGATTGGGTCATAGGATAATACGGGGGTTCCACTATTCCGCGTGGACATCATATCGTAGAAATAGATACAGTAGAACTAGGCCCACTCCAGTGCTATGTCAAAGGCGAGGACACCAAGACGGTGCTAGCTGCGAGCAAGAAGATAACAGCTCTACATCCAACTGGCATGGATCCAGGCATTTACTACCGGCAACTCCACACATTGAATGTCAATGGAAACAGAAGAAATGCCAAAGCTGGGCAGAGAAGGATCCGACCAACCTTTCCAAGAAATGCCGAACATAGCCGCCAATCACAAAATTTCTACTCTGTCTACACAAACTTGAGGAAGGAAATTGTTGGAGCTACTAGAGTCCCAGTAGGTAGAAAATTGGCGGCGAAGAGCCGTAAAGGCACTACAAAAAGAAATACAGATCTGGGAAGAATGAGCAGAACTATGCAAAAAAGAGATCGAAGCTCTACAAGAGAGTTTCGCAGAAGCCACAGCATACATCCAAAAACGAAGATAATCCCAACTGCTTGTGGAAAATGCTCTCCGCAATACGGATACAAACAAAGTAGGGGCAATAGCCAGCCACTATGGCATTCTCGGCTTCTGAACCACCAACCGTTCCACACGCATCGTCCTCCAATCACCAACAGGCGAAACGAGCACTCTTTGGGGCCAGAACGAGTACTACGACAACACGACTCCTACTTCGAGAGGACAAAGACAGACTGCTTCAAGCGACAAACCTATTGGTTGGTAGAAAAGGATTTCTCTCGAGACTATGTGTACAAACACACCCTGCAAATCGAGATTGAATGATCGTTCATCGACAAAACTGACAAAGAGATTCGTTGGAAGAAAATAAACGTAGTCACGTCTCCTATGGGAAAACAGTATCTGGACGAGGAAATAGAGAACATGTCGGAATATGAAGGATATCTAGAACTACAAAAGACTACAAAATCAATCGCCCAGGTGTCACCACCAAAAGCGTGATACAGAAATGTGTTGACTTTCCAGAAGGGATCTATGCCATCCACAGGTTTGCAAAACAGATGTATTGTGGGACCGAGCGAACTATTCTGTATCTAAAGAGCGCTGGACGAAAATGGAGTGCCAAAAGACGATGTAGACATTCCCGTACATGGACATTGGATGGACAGTGCTATTATAGATCTGTCGACAAACCAAAGCCCAGCTCTATGTAGTCTAGGACACATTGGCCCAACAAGAAACAAAAAGAAACAAACATATAGCGAAAGTGAGATTCTTATAAGGTGTTTATACCTGCCCGGCGAACTCGAGGGAGGAAGTCAATAACTCGCCACCGACCCTATGTGGTCAATCAAAACGTACCACATCGACCAGGTGGATATCAAAGAATATAGCCCTATTAGTATTATCTGAAATACGGACCTGGCAGGGAACTCGTGCGAGTGGAATTGCTCATCGTACCCCATGACACGGTACTACCTCTCAGTATTACATATAAAATAGTAAGTACATTTAAGTGTTGATTT